GGCCCCAAGCTTCACCGATTCCGAAGCCTCTGAAGCGTTTGCTCGCATTTCTTTTTGGTTAGGTGTTGCGGTCCACATGTTCAGGGCTTTAGGGTTGGGGTTCGTCCTTTAAGGGTGCCTTTTAAAGGGATCTATATATATATATATATATATATATATATATAGGGATTCGATAAGGGTTCAGGGTTTAGGGTTTACTTGGGGGTTCATGGGTAGTTATAAGTGGGGTTAAAGGTCCCCTTATAACAAGTTGTAATTATAGTCACCCTACTTATAACCCCACTTATAACTACCCATGAACCTCCAAGTAGCGCTTTGGAGTTTAGTCAGGCAATTAGAGTTTTGGACTTTCGGGATGTTCACTCCACGTGGCAAAGCCAGCTTGCAGAAACACACAGGGGCAAGACGGAAAGCGGAATCAACAAGTTCCGGAAGTACGAAAGCCGCTGAGGCTCGGTACCGCTCAATTTTTATGGGAGTTTCCGAAATCAGGGGACCCTACTATAGTCCCCAGATAGTAGGATCCTTGCCATAAGGACCCCAAAATGTTTAAGGTACCCCTATAACTCCCATATGGGTCATAAGAAGAGATTCGGCTATCGCAACTCGGGCAGGCAAGGCTTCAAATCAGCCTGCTTAACATGAGGTTGCAACTACACACAAATGCTCACCAACAACCGCACACGAAGAATTCAAGTCGTCGACAGCTGCTGAGGGGTTCTAGTGATTCAGCTTTGCACACTTTTCGATATTCGCTTGGAGGCTGCATAGTCTCCCAACTGTTCTGGTGTTTCAGGGTTTGTGAAAAACTCCGGACAACCACTACGAACAGCATAACACCCAAATCTTCCACTCTAGTGTAGTCTTGACTAACAACACGTGGTTTGACGCACTAAAGCTTGTTGAATCTGTGCCACCAGCGCATGAGGCGAACCCGAAGAGTTCAAACGCTAGCGCTGGTGAAGCCTACAGCTCTGGAAACTCAACTGTTCAAGCCTCTAAGACCTACTATAGCGGCGTCAATAATTACCTATTCTATTTTGGGTGTTCCTTACTATAAGCATAGTAATTCTAATGGGCCCCAAAGCCCTATTCTAGTTATTGAGGCCCCTCCCACCGTCTCCCACCGCAGCCTTGGCTTTCACCGTGTTCACCTTTGCATTCCGCCGCTTCCGCAAGGACCGGCCCATGGCGCAGTGGCTCCACAAATGCAGACACGATCAACCCAAAACCCAAAACCTATGTAAGAGGTATAGGGTCCCGAAACCTTTTTTACCCCAAAACCCCAAAAGTATCGGGCTTACGGTTTGGAAGCTTCCATGCTCAGTTTGGGAATGAGGAGGGCAGACCTCGAGGAGCAAGCGCTTAGCAGTTTTGAGGGTTTAGCAGGGAGACCTCAACAGTTAGAATAGGGCTTTCGGGACATACTAGACTATGTATAAGCAGTCATCCACATGATAAGGAACCTTGAAGGAATAGCTTCTACCTAAAACCAACCTCCTGAAACCCCAAACACTAAACACTCTGCGACCTTAGCAAAACCACAGTCTTGGGGTTGTGCGGATACCTGGTCATGGCCTAGGAGATTGGGTCCGAGCCCATAAACCACAAGCTGCGCAAATCCTCCCGGAGGCGAAGAATAAGAACCACAGCAATGAAACAACATCAATATACATCAATAGTTTAAAATCCTCCGGAAGCTACATACAGTCATCGTCCATCTGTCACACTTAAATAAACGATGTCGTCCTTGTCGCACTTAAGGCCTTGCTTGCTTGCAAGCAAGCAAACAAGCAAGCAAGCTTGGCTGCATGCTTTGAAAACACGTCGTTTGAAGCTGCCGTGGTTACTCACCTCGTCTGCCTCATAGTATTTCGCTGTCCCTGCTTCAACAAAACAGCATGGTGCAGCTGATTCTGGCTCTGCCTGCACTCTTTGGCACACTGGGCACAGTGGTCAGTAAACGCCCTGTACATACAGACAGACAGACAGACAGACAGACAGACAAAGAGGCAGGCAGGCAGGCAGGCAGGCAGACACACATAGACAAATACATGCGTCTATGTACATGTGTGTATGCATGCCAAGCTTAGCAAGTGATTTTGGCACAGAGAGGCATGAAGCACAAGAAGTGCGTGGTATCGGTTGCGGATCATCTTCGATGATACAAGGTGCTTGCCAGATCTTGTTGTGGCACCAATGGCCCAGCACACAAACCCAAACACCTAAAGCCTTTAAACCCTTAACCCCTAACCTTATGCTTCAAACTCATGTGCATGATGCATGCAACACCCCTAAGGGCCCCAGTGCATTATACTTCTCCCAATATACACCTGCATAACTAGTAACTACTATCCGAAACCCACGTTTACTGGGTCCTTTGGACCCTTGGGGAGCTCTAAAGCAACTCAACTGCTCTGCAATGGCGCATTCAGCTCATTCAACTCCTGGGTTGTAGTTTGGGAGCTCTGCAAAGTATTGCTCTGCAACGGCGCATTCACCTCATTCAACTCCTGGGTTGTAGTTTGGGAGCTCTGAAAAGTATTGCTCTGCAATGGCGCATTCAGCTCATTCAACTCTTCCTCGTCCGCCAGATCTCGCTGCGCCCTCCTCCGCTGGACCTCGGGTTTTTACTAGTAGGGGCCCTAATGATTGGAATTAGGGTTCCTTTGACAGGGCTCCTTAGAGGGAAGGGGATCTATAGTAGGGTTCTATACTACAGGGGCCTTAACAACCAGGATAGGGTGCCTTTAAGGGGTTCCTTTAAAGGGGTCTACAAGGGGATCTATAGTAGGGTTCTATAACATGGGGGGCCTGAATAATTAGGATAAGGTTTTGGGGCCCATTTGACCATAATTATAACAGGTAACCCTCAAATTAGTGCAACTATTTGGCCCCCTATCGTACGTTGTCCCCGATCACACATGTTTACAAAGAGCATGCGGGCAGCTCCTTCCAATTTCAAAAGTAAAGGCCTCCAACAGGACCTCGACTCAAAGAACTTCTTACTCTAAGTATTAGGTGCCGTATTATAAGAAGGACCCCAAAACGGACCATCATTTTGGCAACCACCCATGTGATTTGAATAGTGGTTCTAGTTCTAATTCCAAGGGTGTAAGATTCATCTGCGGCTATGGAGCGTACGTTTTGAGGTTAGCACCAACATGGTCGCCGTGCGTAGCTGTCTTTAATAGGCGAAGCATCCAAATCTCCAAACCCCTTCAAACCTTGCAGCAAGAGGCTTCGGCGACGGCGGCGGCTACGGCTTGCGGGATGTCGTTGGAGTTGTCAGGGTAATTGAAATTCTGCCCTCCTGAGGTCCCCAGGAGCGGCCGAGGAGGCCGGCACCAATGGTTATAGGCCAACATCGCCGCCAGGATGGCAGCGCTCCCCCACCAAACAGCTTGAGCCAGCCATTCCACCTGCTTCGGAATGATCCCATATTCAGTGGCATACATTACACCTATAAGGACGATGCCCATGGCATTCAGGAGAAGGGCACCAGCTGAAAGCACAGCTTCGAAGGGATCACGGCGCCACTGATTTGAGAGCCACGTGTGCATCATCATCATCACGGCAGCGGTGCAGCTGCAGACTCAAGCGAGCACACGAAAAGGCAGCTGTGGTTCGTCTTCCGCAACAAGGAACTCCGAAACGAAGCTTGGAATCACGAACCATATAGGATAATTAAAGGCTTCTGTTACTCCTGCCCCTAAATACTCTACAGTTTGTGATGAGAAATGGCAGGCACTTGAGGCTTGAGGCGTGGCGGCGGTGCTCTCAGCATGGCATGTACGATGACCTCTCATGTGGCCGAAAAAGTTACAACCTCTCCTTGGTCAAGGGTTTATTCCGAGGGGGCTGGTCGTAAGATATTCCGATCTTATTGGGACTCCTACCCACAAGATGGCCAGAGTGCGATCATCAGATCGAGGCCTACTTGGCCTACGGCAGTGTGCAAATTGGAGCATTGGGCCGTGAACTCCTCTCCGTCTGCAACAGTTGGGGTCACACTAGTTGTACTGTCGGGTTTGTATATGGCGGGACTGTTCAGAAAATGGCAAAGGGCATATAACAGCTATGCCTTCACCCGCAATACGCAGACGGTCTCTCAGCAATGACGGCTCTAGCAGCTCACCGACATCCCTGCAAGGTTAAGCGTAGAGGGCTGCGGGGTTTCCTCAACATGCAGAAAAATAACCCGGAAGCTAGTCGCGAGAATAGGGAACCACACATGCTCGGACCCTCGTCAACCCAAAATCCCTGTTAAACATCTTTTCGCCGCGCCCCGAAAGCCCAGAACTTCGAGGTGTATTGTATGCAGAGAACCGTACACATGAGCGTGGGGCGATGATCAAAGGAACGAAAGATGGGGTATCGGTTTAGGGATTAGGCATCGGTTCTGGGCAAAATTGGCTTCTTTACCTACATGGGTCTCCATGATGTAGAGGGGTTAAGGATGTTGAGTAGGGTGGGAAGGAACGGACGAAAAGGTATGTGCCCTTGCTGAGCCGCTCTGACTGGGACATGGCCTTGACAATTCCAAGCTCTTCAGTATGGCTGCATAAGTACAGAAACTGGCGACGACTGCTGGCACATGTTCTGTTGGCTTCAGTACGGCTGGGCACAGAAAGGGCAATGGGTCGATTTGGCCGAACACCCGAATCGAAGTGGTATCGGTTTGGTATCGATTTGGGTATCATCCGGAACACACATCCACACATGATTTCTGCGGCTCGACTTCCTCTGACTGTTTCTTGTACAGAACCAATAATTACAAATTAACCATACCAAACATCTAGCTCAACATACTGAACCAGTCATCGAAGACCAAAAGGGAGCAAACAAGCAAAAACATCTGGCACTTGCCATGGGGGGTATCGGTTTTGCAATTAGGTATCGGTTGCCCGCGAAAATCATCATTGCCCTCCTGTAGTACTGACACAAGAGCCCGTAATAGCGTCTGTCGCTCACTTTGCAAAACACAAGGAAGGTCACACCTCGAGGGAAGTAGATGGTCGCCTCGGCACCCTCGATGCTTCTGGTGACCTGTTGCGAGTCAGTCGGCTCTAAGACTCTAAGGCGGTAGCATGCAGGGCTTAGAACCTGCTTGGGTTTCAAGCATGATGCACTCTGGGTGCTCCTCCTGATCCTCCTGCTCAGTCCCCAGTCCCCTTGCACTCGCTACCCTCGCCATCCGAAATCATTCATCATCGTTACGATCATCAACAACATGATCGGCGATGTCTTCTGCATCATCAGCACCTTTTCCATCACGCTGTCATCATCTTTTGCGTAGCTGAAGCATGAAACATATCATCCTCGTTGCTTTCCCGAGCCTTCGCGACAATCTTCATTGTGTCATTGTCCTCATTTTCATGACCGCCATAACTATTATCGCTGTCGTCATCTTCAGCTGCAGCAGCAGCAGGAACCCCCACCCTCAAAGTCACTTCCCGGCGGGATCTGACTAAGTGACTAAGTTTTGAAGACAGAGCAGACAAGAAGCAACGCATTATAAATACCCTAAACCCTAAACCCCAAACCCTATAATGATTCTGCCATGGCTGCCTTGACATGATGATACGATGCTGAATGCCCCGATGCTGGTTACCACTCCCGTAGCTCCTCTCAGAAAGATGGCGTTGTACTTCTGTCGTTACTTGTTCGCTCTTGCATTGCTGTCCTCGACGTACTGGGTAGTGCTGGAGATTTTCATAGACCGGATGCGAGTGTCGTCAACTACCAATCTGCCACTTTAATCCTTACCTATAGTCTCCATTGTAGATCCCTTTTTGGGCTACCTTTGAGGATCCTAATTATATATTTGGTTAAACCAAAAACAGGAGCTACAGTGCAGACTGTAGGTATCTTTAGACCCAAGTGTAGTGCTCGCCTGAGCTAACCCTGAAACCAACGCCCTGAAGGTCAGAACCCTGAAAGTCTGAGGCGTTCTGACCTGAAAACTGACCGACCCACCATCCTGCCCATGGCCCTTATGAACAGTTCTTATGCATCATGGTATGGCTTAGTTTTCCCCGAAAAACGCTCGAAAACGCTTATGAAGCCACACAGCCAGCCTGGTGTGACCTCGGCGGAGCCACCTCCTTCTCAGCTGCTTCGTCCGACTCCTGAGGGCTAGGCTGGGTGTGCTTGACGAACCAAGTGGTGTTAAGAAGGTGGTTGAAAAGAGTTGTTGATTATTTCGCAGAGCTTCGGGAACATGTTCACAAGCTTTTTCGAAGTTCTTCCTGATTCGATAATGGGGCCGAAAGGTACTCAGCTCAAGCGACCCTGCCACGGTAGCTGGCCAGGTCAAGGTTTAGTGTCCCCAGGCTTTGAGGGCTTTACGGGCTTTGTAAGGAGCTGAGGGTTGACGATTTAAGTTTACGCTCCAAGTAAGAAATAGACATGGTCTTTACAAGCACGGACGCAGAGGCATGACAAAACAGTCAAAAACACGACCAGCTGCAGCGGTCATAAGGACAAAACGTCGGCAGGAGCCACTTCGTTTCAGAGTTCGACAGGCTATGCCTGAGTATCCTCTCGGAAAGACGAAAACCCGACGCCCTTAGAAGCGAACTCAAAACAGCCTCTGCTGGGAACCTTGCTCGCTCAACGGCAGCAACCGAGCCCACGCAATGTATACATACAAATAAATAAATGAATATATATATATATATATACATATATATATATATATGATCTCCACCCAATCAGGAGACAGAAAAGGCCAGCCTCTGCCGCCCTCCGCACGAGGTCAGAGAGCCTCGACGCCTTGCGGCCCGCCTCTTCTCAGATCACTGCGCAGAACTTTGCAACCCGAATGGACCGAGGTATATGGAAAACTTGACCGGTGCTTCTAAGGCTAGGTCTCTTCTCGGTCGCGTGAGGCCTGTATGCTGGCATCTTTGGCCTTTCCAAGGCCTTCTTTACGTCTCTAGTTTTCAGGGTCTGGGAGTCTAGGGCTCTGTCGAAGTATTGATTGAACCCTCGGATGTTGTGCGGCTGGATGCTCCAAACACTTCAAGGAACTCTTCCTTACAGCTCTCGGTGAACAACCTGGAAATCTCTGTGCCAGCAGGCCCAGAACGAAACACTTCAGCATCCTGGGCAACAACCCAGAGACTCCAATATCCCTTAATTAAGGAATATTCTAAATCATATTAGGGATCCTCCTATATTTTTGAGGTATATTACGGAATATTCCTTGCTTAAGGGATATTGGAGTCTCTGGAACCGGAATCCTGCGCTTGATCTATTCCTTAGAAGCTGCCCCCACCCTGTAATAGTGACTATAAGGATATATATATATATATATAGGATTATAAAAGGGGCCCTATTATTCTTACAGGGTGGGGGCAGCTTCTAATGTATTCCGAATCTCCGTCCTGCGTCTTGGTTTTTCGGCCACCCACGGAGCTCCTCGGCCGTGCCCGCTTTTTCGGGCTGACCTCCGAGAGGAGTTGGCTGAGGGTCGGCTTCTTCTTTGAGAGGTTCAGGTAGTGTTCCTGTTGTGATTGTGTTGGTCTCGTTTGTTGCTGACACGAGAAACTAGTACCACCACCGCCACCACAACCATGACAACAGCAATATGATAGTGCCAGTACTGCTACGACAACAACAACAACATCCTCAAACATTAAACACCCACAGCCTCAAACAGACCAATCCCGAGCTCGATTTCCTTGACGAAGTGCGCGCAGTTAATGAAGCCCCTGTACTTCATGCCCTGCACCCCCTCACTGCAAGAACCGCGCATCCTACACTAATGACGCACGGTTTATAAGGCTTGGCTGCGCAGGCCAGAGCTCGATACGTGTTGGGGATCGATGTCCTAAACTCTACACCCCAAACCCTACCTATAGCCTCCATTGTAGTTACCTTTTTTGGTTAACCAATAATTTTATGGTTAGGATCCTATACGAGAGAGGAACTACGATGGAGACTATAGGTAACCCCTGAACCCCTTGAACTCTTGATGGCCGCGCCTTGTTTTCTTTCTTCGGCGCGAAGTCACCGTTGCTCGGGGCGGCGAGGCCTCTAGCCTCGTAGAAGTGAAGCGGATCGGGGTCTTTAGGGTCCCCTTAGATGTAGCTTCTACTCGGAGGTTCATGGGTAGTTATACGTGGGGCTATAAGTCCCCTAATATGGGTTGGAAATATAGTTACCCTACTTATATCCCCACCTATAACTACCCGTGAACCTCCAAGTAGACTCTAGATTCTAGACGTGCTGCAACAATACCTGCGTGCTCATATATTGGGCGCCTTAATCATTAGAGTAGTGTCGGGGCGCATGTTATATAGCATCAAGGAACCGTAGTGGAATCGCATTAAAACTGTAATACTTATTCATTCTTCTGTCTATTGCTGGGTCCAAGTGAAAGAAAATACAGGCGGACGCAGAGGTAAACTCGCAAACTGTGTTTTCCACTCCTTCACCCAAAAGTTTTCCAACTGTATCAGCTGGGGGCTCGGATCCAACAGAACCCTCTAACACTAAACCTTAACCAATCAGGTGCAGTCCGTGAGAATCTTACTCGGCAGCATCAATCAGAACCTTGGCACTGCTGGCGGAAACCCGGGAGTCCAAACCCTAAAGCTGATGCTCTCGAAGTCTAATATAGGGGCCTTAATAATTAGAATAGGGTTTTGGGGCCCCTTATACTATAATTAATTACAATCAGGAACCCCCCAAATAGTATGGGTAATTATTTATAGGCCCCTTACATATTGTAGTTCGCTTATAGATCCCTTATAGTAACCCTTATAGGAAAGTCTAGAGCAGGCTGAGCCCAGCCTCCACCTCCTCCACCGCGACATCTGCACTTGGCTCTGGCGGTTCTACCGCGACATCTGCAGCAGGCTCACCTGTGTTCAGTGTTGAGACCTGAAGGCTTTCTGGGCCTTTGAGTAACCAGGGAGAAAAAGGTCTAAACTTCTATTTCAGAATGGCTCCTTGAAGAAAAAACCTACTAAAACTAAAGTATGGTACTCCAAAGCCCAGTTTTGAGGGGTTCAGGGCACAAGTCCATCGCAGAAGATGCGTCTCAGCCCTTTTACCCCACCGAGGCCCCAAACCCGAGGCCCTCTAGAGACCCTAAGCTCGCCCATAGAGATTCCTTGAAACACCGCTCCAACCCCCACCCCCCCCCCTTACAGAATGCTTCTATAATCCTATAATGGCCGGGAAGGACGAGAAATCCCAAATTTTTGCATGAGACATCCGTGAAGCCATGTAAACCCTGCAAGCCCGAAACTCCAAACCCGATGAACCCTTCGAGCCCTGGAAACCCCTACATAAGCCTAAACTCCATCCTAAATTAGCAGCCCTAAACTCTACAAAGCCCCCCAAAACTGCATGAAACTCAAAAAGCCGAAACCCTGACAAGCCTGTCAGCCCGAAGCCCCAAACAACCCTACAAGAAACACCTAACCGAAACCCTCAACTAAACCCCAAAACCCTGAAGCCTAAACCATAAACATCCCGAAACCCCAAACCCTGAAGCCTATAGTACCCTTATAGATCCCTTAAAGGAGCCCTAAAGCCTTGTAAGCTCAAAAGTCTCTAAAGACAGCCTGTGATCTGCATCGCGGCGCTGCAGAGCGAACCTCAGGTTGCCCCAACGAGACCTTTACAAAGGACCGGTCTTTAACGAAACCCTTTAAGGGGTTTAGGGTTTAGGGTTTCGATGCTCAAACTTGCACGCAGCAGGCAAGGCTCCACAAACACTCGCACGCAGCAGGCAAGGCTCCACATAGTGGGTTTAGGGTTTAGGGAGCCCACTTTTGAGCTCCATCGTAGCCGTAAAACGGGACTTTGAAAAGCCCTTACAACGGTTTAGGGTTGAGACTTGGGGTGTAGGGCACGAAGCCCTTTAAAGCCTTCTGACAAGCCCTTAAGTAGCAACACACAATTGCTAGTTCGTACTGAGGGCGGTTTGAGATCAGAGTTTTTGCAATCAGAAATGAAAAAGCGTCTGCAACTACAAATGTCCGACCGTGACCATCTGGATCTAGACTCCCGTGTGCTGCAGCCCCTTGACTAACGAGGACGTATAAAGACGAGTGCAGTCCTGAAAACCAATGTGCTTTGTGAACCCCACCTCTAAGCCTTGCCGATCGCCCGAACTTGCATGGACCTTAACTCCTCATAAGCCCTCAAATCTAAACCCACCCCTTAATCCGCTCTCCGGCCGCAGTGCTCGCTTCGGCCACATTCAGACACCTTCAGTGCTCAGGGCTCCTTTAAATGAATCCTTTAAGATTACTGTGCGACTTTTAGGTTGCAAGGGTTCACAGTTCCTTTAAGGGATCTACAGGCGGGGTTACTTCTAAGAGTACAATGGGGGTTCTATACTGGGGATTAGAAGGTACCATAGTGTCCTTAATTTACAGCCCAGCACAGCCATCCGTGTGATTTTCAGACATCCTAGATGTCGTTATTGTAACTATAGTATAATACCCCAAGCCCTACTCTAACTATTAAGACCACTGTACTACCCGCCCTGTTGCACTACATAGCCATCAACGGCTGCAATAAAAGAAATCCTAGGGATGGTAGCTGTTCAGCGGGACGGCTACGATTTAAGGTTGACGACTCACTAAATGGGATCTATAAGGGTGCGACGGAGGGGTATGGGTCTCGGGTAAGAGATTATAGGGCTTGGCGGCGGCCTGGAATGGTAGCAGGCTCAAGGCATTGCGATTTCGGCCTCAAGGGCTTCAAAAGGGAAGACCAGAAATCAAGCTGAGATTTTTGTGGCATTAAATGGATCCATGATCCGAGGGTTTAGGACTTATAGGACAGCTTAGAGCCTGTAAAAGGAACTCAGGGGATTCGGTTGAGGGGTCGAAGGCACCTGTCGGGCTCCGGAGGCGCCTCATCCATGGCATGGACGCGGCTTGGATTTCAGGCTTTGCGTTTTTTTGTTTTTGCCCTTTTCGTCTCAGCACGGATCCAAAGGCGGTCAGCCCGGGTTTAGGGTTTCGGGCTCAGGGCTTACAGTAGGGTTCGGATTTTCGAATGCAGGGTCAAGGGGTTTTGCCGGGATGCTGGAGTCAGGTTGAGAAGTTCGGTGCGGAGCTGTTCTTGGCATGCCATCTAGTGCTCATGATGCTTTGTTTGACGTGCAAAAGGCTAATTCATTTCGTTTGCTGTTTGCTCAGGTTGGTTGCTTCATCACATGGGCTTGGGATTTAAAGTAGAAGCTGACATGAAGCACGAGTTCGAGCTGGACAAACTTAACTTGATCCAGGGACACTGCTTCGGCAAAGGTTTCTTATGATCTGAGAAAAGTTGAATGCTGCGAAAGTCAATCTGGCCCACATTCACCTTTACACGAATCTACAACAGGGCTGTCCTTCTGCATAAGGACAACAGACAGAGGCTTGCTGGTTCCGGTGCACCTGCAATAATAATAGCTCTTATCCGTCATGTTACTGATGAAACTCAGAACAGTCGGATAATTACTCCCCATGAAGCAACGAAAAAGACATTGCTGTTGGTGGCATCGAATCGGACCATTCCAATTAATTACGAGCTGACCCACAAAACCGACAACCCCAAACCCGCCCCCGAACTCCCAAACGCCAAGACCGCGTAGATCTCCGGAGGTTGGGTGAGATACCCGAAAACCCTAAGGGTACATATACCAAAATAGTATAAGCCTTGACGTTGTTTTGGGTACATTGGGGATAAAGTATGTGCTAAAGTGTATACTATTGGGTACATGGACCCTGAGGGGAAAGTCGTTGAATCATCCTGTGGGCTTCCTTCCGCAGGTTTCCACTAGATGGTTGGTGAAGTCGGTATAAGCTATGAAAGACCAAACACACCGAAGGGTCCATGCACCGGTATGGCGTAGACTGTGGCCTTACGAGGGTCCCTCTAATTTTCTATGCGTCTGTCCGTCCGTCAATCTGTCCGTCGGTCTGTCTGTCCGTCTGTCTGTCTGAGCTGCTTACAAAATTAGTCGGGATGGAAACTTCTCGAAGACTTGTTGATAGGAACCCCCGGCGGGATCTTCGGATTTAGGCTGAGCCATAAACCTCCAAAACCCTGAAAAGGTTAGGGTTATGAGTTTGGGCGCAGGGGGTTGCACGTACCCGGCGCTTTCTTCTGCGACACGGCCAGGATCACCAAGGAATATTTTGCAGCCATGACCTATTCAGAACACATGAAAGGGGCTTTGGCGGTGGGATACCGCACACCAAGAGAATGCCACTGAACCGACTTTTCGCCACACCACCCATTTGGGAACACCGGCACAGTAAACTCTGCACCTTCAACAAACCCTGGCCTTGAGTCAGGATGTTGGTGTTTGGAGCCCACCGACATTACCCCCTAAGGGCCCTCTTTGGGCTGCATGCAGTGCAAGGAAAGGGCGAACGCCCCACCAAGTCGCTGATCCTTCCGGGGCCTCTGAGTCTAGGGATAATGTTCTAGGATGAATCCCCTTTTCAGCACGGACTAGGATGAAGCCCCTTTTTAGGATGAAGCCCCTTAACCCTAAACCCAAAAGCTGCAAACCCGGAGCCGGGATCCTCAAGTGACTCCTGCAGCAGGTAAAGAGATGAGGCTGCATAACATGCGCAGCGAGGCCGGATGATACGAGTTGCAAGAGCAACAGCTGGAATAACAACAGGGTTCAAAATTCGCAACATCGAAATATCAAAGCACTAAGAGCAAGACTTTTGGCTGGACTAGTCGTTCTCATATGGGCGCTTCTGTCCGGCATCGTTCCCATGGAGGCGGCAAAGCCACTTGCTCGATTTATAATCTGGCCCGCCAGCTAGCTGAGAACGATAACCTGTACTCCTAGATCGAAATTTGGAAACCGTAGCCGTAACAACTACAGCCAAACGAACACACAAAAGTAGTCAAACCAAGTAACTAAAGGCTCGGACGTCTCCGGGGTGTATCTCGTCAAGACAACAGTCGTAAACACAACATCAGCAGAAGAATTGCAGTGTGCTCAGCACTTGCAATCACACGCGGAACTTGAACGAAAACCACGCGACTGGGGAGCTGCGACCAAGTCATGAAAAACGGCTGTATGTGCAGATCTGCTATATTCTATGCATTACATTCTACTATACATTTTATGTATTTACACACACACACACAGTTAAACTGCATTATATACTGTTGTCTATATACCAGATATTATGAATTCGTCTTCAGGGTCCCTGACCACGCAGAACATGCAACCGGCCTAACTCAGGAATGCTGTGACCTGCGGCATAAGCCAGAACCTTTACAGGCCCTACCTAGAGGCTCCGTAGCAGTTCCTTTTTGGGGTTCAATTTAGAGTTTAGACTTTAGAATCCTATAAAGTAATCCCAACACGGAACCGATTAATTACTATGGAGCTTTAGGGTAGCTTCAAAATACTTTGTGCCTAACATGCAACTGAACCTGCGCTCCCATGCAATTCCTCGCTTGAAACCGACATTTTCGATGCAAAGGTTGCGTGAGGAGATTTTCTGGACGAAGTCGTGCTTGGGAATTGCTGGAAACAGTGACCATGTGGGTTTCCAGACAGTCGTTGCAGGGTGCAGGTGCAAAGAAGGGCATGAATGTTTGAGATTGGGTTGCGAGCTTCGCGGTTCCATCTCCTAGTCGCGCTCGGCTTGCAAAGTGACGCTCCTACCTAAGACCCTCGACGATCCAGCAGAACCAGAAAACATCTTTGACTGAAAATCACAACAGGTTGTAATGCTGAGCCAAAACGAGGAAAAGACCCCGAAGTGCCCCAGCGACGCAGCTGCAGAATGTATATCCGACCGCAGCATGGCAAGGAATGCTTGCAAACGAGATTCACAGAGATCCAGCTTAGTCTGGACATGCTGCTCGGAGCAGTGTGGAAATCCGTAAAATCATCTTTGCAGCAGGTTACTTGTCATCTTGTGCCATAGTTTTGAGGTCACAGCACGAACGCAGCGAAGCATTCGAAACATGCGTGTCGCAGGTTTGATGCATGTTGGTATGCTGTCTGATCCTGTGTCAGGCCACAAGAGAGGTATAGGTACTGGTGACTAGTTGCGAAACGTCAACCGCTTCGTTCAACTTCACGTCTCCTTTGTGAATCTGGTGTCCAGGATTGCGAAGCCACTCTGTAGCGCCTGCTGCAGCCAGGATCTGGAGAAATTGGCCCCAGCTCACACACAGGTTTTTTCCATGGCATCCGCCAGGATGCAAGCCTAGTTGTACCATGCAGGGGGGGACGCATGAGGGCGTCTTCACCGTGGGAATCTGCTTCACTCCAGACGTGCATAGATGGGAGGAATCTGGGTGTGTAGCGTGCAGGGTGAAAGAAAGTACGGAGCCTAATGACTCAAGCGGTCTGACTTGGGGTTTGCATGCTTGAGGCGCTGTCTACACCCTTTCGCAATAAATCGTTCCAGTATTTGGCAATTGAGTCTCAAGCTCTGTTATATAGCCTACCTGTCGCCCTCAAGGGTAGGACTAAACAGAAAACCGGTATGTACTTCCTGGGGCAGCGGACAGGTCGTTTCCTGTCGAAGAGAGCATTGCTCGAAACGAAAGAGCAGATTGCCGGGTGGACAGATACTGGACGGTTTCTCGATGAGGGACACTTTGATCAGGGAATCCCCAAGCCCTAAAACCCTAAACGGCCCAACAAGGATTCGGAAGGTGTGGCTGGCTTCTGCTAGCTCGAAGGGTAAGCTGAAAATTTCGCAATGCTCAAGGCCTAAACAGATCCGAGCTTCAACCCAAGCCCGAACAGCCTCGCCCTGAGCCCTTTGAGGGTTTAGGTTGAAGGTAAAGGCAACTCCAAAAAGCCAAGCCCTAACCCGTGTAAATCCCCAGAAGACCGGAAATCCTCTGAACCCACACCCTCGCCCATTTCCCAACACGCAATCCTTTCCCCTACGCCTGTAAAACAATTAAACTAAAAGGTGGCGGGAAAAGCTAAGCAAAAAAACGTGGGCCCGCACCGCCCTGAAGTCTACTCCTCCAACGACAGAACCTACACCCCAAAGGTCCAAAATTCACCCCTAACGCCTACGAACCTAAACCGTAAACCCTGGATCCCTAAAGCTACAAACTCTGACCCCTAAACCCGAAATCCCTAAAGCCGAAACCCTAACCCCTCGACCCCGAATCCCTGCAGCCTCAACCCCAAATCCCAAAGCCCCATATAAACCCTTTTACACCTGGACCACTTATAACTACCCATGAACCCCCAAGCACAAATAATTCTGAAGTTCCAAAAACACCCTAGAACCTTGCAATCCCTAGAAAATACTCTTCCAAGACCCGTAAAGGATTTAAAAACCTTAAGCCCCCAACTTTACAGGCCTAGATCGTATCCTTCTGGAATCCTTAAGGGAACCCTGCAAACCACCAAGATTGAAATCACATAAAGAACCCTGCCAGTACCATTGCAGGAACCCTTTTACACCTGGGCTATGCATATGCCAGGAACCGAGGCGCCGACTGTGCTGTGAACTCGAAACCCCTAACCCCTACTTGGAGGTTCTTGGGTAGTTATTATAAGTGGAGTTCTAAGTCCCCTAACATGGCTTTTAATAATATGGTTACCATACTTGTACGTAACCCCACGTATAACTATACCCATGAACCTCCAAGTATAAGCCCCAACCCCTAAACCCTAAACCCTAAGCTCTAAGCCCCTAACCTCTATAAGCCCCAACCCCGAAAGCGTAAAACACCGAAGCCCCGGAGTCCCAAACCGCTCAGAGACCCGAGCTAGAGGCTTCCAGAAGGGTTTACTACGGTCTTTGTGCAGTGCTTACGGCTTTTTCTAGCCGTTTATGTGGAGTTCAGGGTTCCTTCAAAAGGATCTCTAGAAGGGTTACTAAAAGGGTAGCCTAGGGTTAAAGGTTTTTTTGGGTTTATGG